TAAATTTTATAACGCGGAGCATGGTAAGTTTGATTTAGGTCCTTTTCGCTGATAAAATTTTCAATGGGAGGAATTTTCCCTGCTTTATTCTGCACTACCTTTTTTTTTTTTTTTGGGTTTTTACTATTCCGTCTACGCTTACTGGTTACCACGAATGAGGGATGAAAGAAGGGTTGTGTTTACCATGTAAGTTAGGTATAAGAGAAGGAAGTAGAAAAATAATGGGAATAAAAAAGAAGGTACTAAAAGATAAACCGTGTGGTGCCACCAGGAGCTACAAAGCAATCACTTTTTGTTATTTGGCCTTGCCATCCTTGGTTGGTACAAATAATTCACATGGAGACACTGTACCAAACATGCACACTCACAAAAAATCAATCAAGAAAGGGGCATGTATTTAAATCAATGTGTCTGTCTGTGTATATTAATATTTGGATTTTTCCAGGTTAAAATATGCCTCAAAATATTTTTTGAAAGGACAAAACATCCTAGGCTTTTCAAGGGGAAAAAAAACTTGATTGCCATCGATGAATTATTACATATGGCTGTTCCTAGAGGACTAAATTTAAATGCTTCTTATAAAAAAATAAATAACTCGGTCATATCCCTCTTTCTCTATATCTGGTTTTTATCCTTTTATTCTCTATCTCCATCGTCTTTGATATAGCTATTCTTGCTTAGCACTTTCTTTTGCAAAAAGGAATGACGTGAAATTTTTTTTTAATTTTCCTATTCGTATAAATTAAACAAAATAGAAAATAGGAATGGAAGACTTTTAGTTTAATTTGTTAGAGAAGTAAATGCATAATTGATTTGAAATGACTCGGAGAATTGGATAGAAACGCAAATTACCCCGAAAATTGAAACTTTTTCTGCACATAACTACCCACTAGAAGGATTATTTTCCACAGACCAAGCATGGAAGGCTAAAAAGAATAGTCCCTTTCAACTTTGAAACAACGAAAATATGAAACTTTTGATTCCCTAATATTTATTTCACATAAAAATTATTTTTTACATTTTTATGAAAAATGTTAGGCTTTATACTGTATACTGGAATCCTAAATTTTTCAGAGCGGTCAAAGTCGTCTCATGGAGTCAATGACTTTGCCTTATTAAGAAGGTGGCATTATGGCGTTCTTTTAATTTACTTGACTGTATTCATCAATGGCCATTCTAATATATTTTCTGTTTTACTTCGTTTAATTATTTTCCATAACGCTTTGCTTAACTTCTACGAAGCAAGGAGGAAAGAGCAGTGGCGATGGAGGAAATATCGACTGCGTCTGCCATGTGATTCATGGAATTAGCTTTTCTCTTTTGTCTTAATTTTGGTTTTCTCTTTTTGACCTTTATCGTTCACCATTGATTTAATTTGATTAAAATTTGATGTAAATAGCTTACAACATAAATTATTATTAAAAATTTTTTATGTTTTTCACTTTATGAATGGTTGAAATCAAATTTTAACAATTTAAATTTATTATATGTTTTTCATATAAACTTATATGAATAGTTTTATAAAATAATAAATTTGAACAGTTAAAATTATAATTAATGGTAGTGAAAATGAAAAAGGAGGGGTTAAAAAGACTAAGATAAAGAAGAGAATTTACTTTTGTAGTTAAGTCGAGTTATTCAGAAGGAACCAAAAAAAATGAGAATAAAAGAAGGTGAAAAATAAATATAAACCTTGTGGAGCCAGTTAAGACTTTTAGATTTATCTTTATCTAAATAAATACAAAAACTACAACTTTTGCAAGATCTTTAATTAGAAAATCACTGATCCGTTTCCATGCATTTCATGTCATTCCAAATTTAATTGTAAACATAAATATATGATACCGAAGGCCCTTAAATCGAGATAAACTCCTCCACATATTTACCTCGTAGACCGTAAAATCACTTCTGAAACCATGGTTTGGTTTCCATCCAAACACCCCTTACGGAAAAGTGCTTATGAGAAGCACTTTTCAGGATATCCAAACACCCCCTAAAGCCATGCTCCGATGTAAGAAAAGCTAGCCACTGGGCTTTAACATGGGTTCCCTTTGAGTAACTAGAGGGCTAAAGGGAAATAGTATTGGAAGAACATTTCTGTAAGCACCTTCTCTGTAGGAAAGGTTCCATGAGATGGTTTAACACTCTCCCACCACCTATTAGTAATATCTACAAATAATACAACTATTACTTTCACCTTTTGATGTGAAGTGCATGGTGCTAGAAAGAAGATAGTCTCTAAGCAGTCGATCCAAAGAAAGGGAACCTATGGCTCAATGTAAACTTTGTAACTTTTAGCCGAATTACACCTCATTATTGGAGAGCTTGGCGTATTCATATTAAATAGATGAATCCTGTTATTTGTGGTTAGTTAGTGGGTTCTATCAAATGTTATAATGACGTTATAAAGATTGTTGATGGAGTTTCATACATTCAAATTACATCTTGAATTATTATATATATTTTTATAAAACTGCTTAAACTATGTTATACGAATTTATATTTTGCCTGCTTAACCACCTTGTAATCACTCCTTGTATGTTTGTTGAATTGGAATTGTAGTTATTGTATCTACTTGACTCATCCCATGGTTATTTATTATTTTCACGCAAAGGTTTAGATGTTGGTTCTAAGGAAAAGTTATCCGAAACTTGAGTTTTCTTTTTTACTCTGTATAAACTCCTTTTGTTTTACATGTGTTGATCGATGTATATTGCTAAATTTTAGGACCTTTTTATTATATATATATATATATACTTAACATATTTTGAATATTCTTTTGCATACTGAGACTTGTATTGTTAGGCGAAGTCCTTTTTTGGATACACGTGACTTTTATTTTAGTTGTGGTTTTTATAATATGTTGTTATTATGTGTGCTTCAAATGCCCTGGCTCATATATGACTTGTTTTAGTTATAATTCTGGGGTTCAGAGTTTTATGATGAATTTGATTATTCGATTATCCCTTACTATGGTAAATATTTTGCTACCATGAAAAAGTTGTTAGTGCTTTGTTATAGATGTGAAATTTTAATAATTATGGCAGACTTCTACTTGATTGGTTTTGCTTTTCTTTTACCATAGTTGACTTTTCAAAATGATTAATAAAGTCTTTTATAACTATGATAGTTTTTGGTTATATGATTTATTTTTTCTGTCATAGTTATTATTTAAAGGTTTTGGGTTAACTCTTTTTTTTCCCCCTACTATAATAGCCATAAAAAATTTAATCACTTGTTAATAAGCAAGTAATTGTACGGTTATAAGGAGTTGTTACCCAAAGTAAGCTCAAATACATGGATAGATGCACTTGGTAGTACAAATTAAATCTTTTATTTTTTTTATGTTTTTAAATTTAATCAGTGGCATAATATATGTAACTTCTTGTTATACATAGTTCTATTGTTATTACTTTGTCAGTCTTAATTGGTTGGTTAAAATATGATTTTCTCGCTTGCATAGAAATTAATTAAACATCTATAAAGTGTAAGACTATAAAAAGGAATATATCCATCCAAAAAATTGTCCCTCATAAAAAGTAATGAAGGGCGTAGATTTTCTTTAACTTGAATTGAATAGCCTATCTATGCTGATTCATTATTACTACAATTTTTTTAAAAAGATAAACTTTTCTCCCCCAATCCTACCGTCATCACCATCACACGTTTAAGTTTTTTCCTTTTTTTTTTAAGAGCAAAAAAAAAAAAAGGCCAAAACGAGAGTTCCCCATTCAAAAGGGTCAACCGTCATCGTCAATTCCATTTTGTTCTAGCAACAGGCAGATTCAAGCTAACGTCATGCATTCGCTAAGGCGAAGACAAACAAACTTGGCAACGATGAATATAAAAATTTGGTAACTTGGTACCAAAAAAACTAGTCTCTTATATCATGGTAAACTAAGATCCAAATTTTTATTAGGAGATATGCTTACATTTAATACCCGATAATATCTTAAATAAAATTGTCAGTAATAGGATGATATTTATGAGTAACAAAAAATGATAAATATAAAAATTAATTTTTTAAAAGATTTTTAATTAGGTACCAAATAAATTCATGGTAATCATTGCTCCGTTGCCATGAATAGCACGTCATTCCATTTTTAATTGTCAATGACGTGGTATGCATGCATAGGGAGACACTATTTATCCCCAGACAAGTATCTAACATCCTTTCTTGGTATTACAATCATCTTTAACATCTGTCTCTTTCCCTTTATTTTATTTTCGAAGGACTTCATTACGATTGCCTAACTTTTTACTTTTTCTATGTAATTGCGTGTTTAACATTTATTCAGAAAGACCGAATGTCACATAGTATCTACTTAATGATTTAGTTCAAGCTTTAATTTCTCATCACGACCCTGCAATGTGATAATCAATCTTCTCATCAGAGATGCTCTCAATCTTACATTCCACGAAAGGACCAAGCACATTAAATTGGATTGTTACTTAGTTCGTAGAGAAGCTGCAAGCTAAAGTTATTCATTTGCTTCCTGTTCTCTTTGCTGACCAGCTTGCCATTCGATGCGTTCACTAAATCTTTTACACCCCACTGGATTCCATGAGCTTATCTCAAAGCTTGACATGAAAAATATTCATGCGCTCCTGGTTGAAAGGTGTGGCAAGCATATTATAACCTTTTGTTAAGTTATTATAGCTAGATTCTGTTACTGTAACTTAGCTTACTAGTTATGATGTAACTCTTCGTTTTTTATAGGACAACCTTTTGTTATTATAGCCGTTTGAACTTTCTCTTTTTATTCTTTTAATATTTATTTTTGTCTTGCTTGCAAATCTCTTTTATCCTTGACATATTTTTTTATTCTCCTGATTTTTCTTCAAATTAAATATTCACTTTTTTTTTTCTGCCAACCAAATATTCACATACATAAGCATACGTCTGTCTATATATTCATTACAAATCTCAGAAGAAGGAATCACATCCTAAGCACTCTCCTCCATTATATGCTTCCTCTCAGTTCCTTTATATTCCATTAATGGACGCATTATATGCAGCTTCAGTGCATAGTTCCTTCAGTAATGACGATTCAACCCTCACCTATTGTTTCAGTGGTATAACCATAATGTGTATTCTTATATTATGTGTAAACTTGGTGGCAATTACCCATGCTGCCTTGCCTACTCCTGAGCTATACTGGAAGTCCATGCTTCCCACTACTCCAATGCCTAAATCTATTGCAGATCTCCTTCACCCACCTCATGAGTATTGTATTGCTCTTCATTGCTAATTTTCTTCGAGCTAAGTTTCCTGATTCATTGCTAACATAAGGTTCAGGCTGCCAAGTCATCAGGTGACCGTGGGAAGGCAATATCATGCCATCGTCCTTGTCCTGGTCCTGCTCCCTTTGAGTTAGTTTATTATGGTCGTCCTCAGGGTAACTTTGAGACCAAACTCCAACGTAACCCCAACACAGCTCGCTTGTTCTTGGAAAAGGATTTGAAGGCTGGTCACAAAATGAACTTTTTCTTCACGCGGTCCTCCAAGAAAGCATCCTTCCTGCCTCGTCAAGTCGTCAAATCCATTCCTTTTTCTTCAACCAAGGTATACCTAGCGTCAAACTCATTCTGCCATTTCTGTAATCACTGATAATTCATGTAGGAAGAAGACAATTAAACAGTGCGAGGAGCCGGCGATTACAGGAGAGGAGAAGTATTGTGCAACATCCTTAGAATCCATGCTTGATTATACCATTATGAAGCTTGGCAGAAACGTGCAAGCTTTGTCTACGGATGTGAAAAAGAAGGAAACAAAGAAGCAACAATACACAATAAAGAATGGGTTGAAGAAGGTGGGAGAGGCAAATGTGGTGGTATGCCGCAAGCTCAATTATGTGTATGCTGTGCTTCTCTGTGACAAAATGGAGAACGCAGTTGCCTATACGGTGTCGTTGGAGGGGGCCGATGGCAGCACAGTGAAAGCTGTGAGTGTGTGTCACAGAGACACATCGCAGTGGAACCCGAAACATTTGGCCTTCCAAATGCTGAAAGTAGAACCAGGGGGTGTCCCAATATGCCACTTCCTTCTTCAAGACTCCATTGCGTGGGTTCCCAAACAAAACTAAGCATGAACTTCAGTGTTATATGTGTGTGGTGATAGAGAATCTGTGTCCTACTTAAACGACATCACTTGTTTCTCTGTTCTAAATACATGATATATATGCATGGCTTTCAATTTCTCTTAAGTTTTAGGATTTAGGGTTTTAGGTAAACTGAAATTAACATTTTAACCACTATGCCTCTTTCCTTTCATGTTGTAACTAAGAATCCAAGTTTCCCATTTGTGTACCGGCAGTGTTAAGATCTCTATGTATGTTGTATTTTGATAAATAGCATGTCTTGTTTGTGTGTTCCAGTTAGATCTTCCGAAGACGTACAGATTCTCGACAGTTCATACCTTTGAAATTTTGATGGAAGATATATATAAATAAAATATTAACTAATTTCTTAATATATATATATATATATCTTCCAGATAAAATGAAACTTGAAGAATGGAAATTATAAACAAGGACACATAAAGAGATAAATTATTCATAATAAATTTCAATTTCAATGATTATTCTGAGACTTTGATCCCTTTCATAAGGGGAAACAAGTGTGCACTGACTCCTAGAAACAGGTAATTTCATTATTCGGTTCCTACTTATTTATTATTCTCCCACAGGAAATCTAATGAATTGTGGTACAAGGGATGATGAATTATGATGCCAAATTGTCTTTACTCTTTGAATAATTGAACTGTATTATTAGGTAATTGGTTGGAAGATGTCACTTAAGAATTGAATTGTATCAGCTACAGGAAATTATTTCAACTTGTCACTCGTCAGTGATTTGGAAAATTTTCGAGTCATTGGTTAGAAGCAACAAAATTGTAATCAATCGACCATCAATGAATGATGTGCACGGAGTGCCCATAATAAAGAGAGTTATTTTCTTTCTTTCTTTCTTTGTTTTTTTTTGGAGGGAGAGTTGTTTTTCTTTGTTAGCTACGATCCTTCTAGCTTTTAAAAATGGAGGAAAAATCCATACAAACCAAAAATACATGGATTCCCTAAATCTTTATATCTGTTACGAACTCTTTGATATTACATGAAAATAGCAATCTGCAGGAATTACTTTAGTTCTAAAAATTTTTGGAGTTATTCTTCTACCAAGAGAACTTCGAAAAATTCATTATAGTTTATTCAGAAGAAAAGTTTATGAGTTAATTTTTCATCGTGAATAAGGAGTTGTAGAGTCATCTCATAAAGAATTTTCGAAAGATAGAAAAGTTCATCATAATTTCTTCAAAATGGTTCCCTTTTAAAAACTTGTATTGGCCACATATTGCAATATCTAGAGAATTGGATGTGATGGGCGAACACATGCAAAGACTTTTTGTTCTTATTAAATAATTATCAATAAATCAAGAATTTAAATGATCTCATTCAACTGTTGATTTAATTATTTTCTGTGAATTTAAAAAATTTGCTAGAAACAAGTGAAGTTTTGGTAATAATTGAGCTCCCACACAATAAATGATGCGTAAAAAGTTATATAATGAAATTTCAAAATGGTATTTAATCTCATACTCCTTCTAGTTTAAAATCTAAGATAAACTTTATCTATTTACATTTATTAAGAAATTAGTTAAGATCAATTTAAAACAATAAATATATAAGACATTTTTTTTCCCCTCAAATAAGTTATCATTAATAAAGAGAAGGAGTACTGGTCAAAAAATTTAATAAAGAGAATGAGTAAAAAATGTAACAAATGATCAAAGAAGAAAGAGAATATATAGAGAAAATTTTTTTAAAAACTCGTTAAATGTTTAGATAAAATAAATATTAGGAAAAAAAGACACTAAAATATCCTCAATAATACTAACTGACAAATGAGTGTATCTAAATTTCAAAATTCCAATTCAAATCCCAGGTACCTTTTTAGAATTTTAAAATCTTGTAAAATTATACAAATGCCCTTTATGATTTTTTTACTATTTTTTTTAAATATTGCCACCTCAGCAATTCTGGCAGTCGGAGCTCCAATGCCGAAAACCTTGCTGGCAACCAACCACCAAAGCTCTAGCGACATGTTACCGAAACTCAGGTGACCGGTCATCAAACCTCTGATGACTACTCTTTATTATGTATTGACTACTCTTTTTTAGCTATTGACTATATTTGCTTTTAAACTCTGATGATTACTCTTATTAAGCTGCTGACTACTCTAGTAACATGATTGACTATTTTAATTTTTAAAATTTTGATGACTATTTTTATTTAACTATTGACTACTTTTGTTTCAAAAATTCAAAAAATGCATTAAATATTGTTGGAGATTTAATGACTATTTTTTATTTAGTTATTTACTACTCTTGTGTAGTTAATAGCTATATAAAAGTAGCAACTAGAACTTTGAAAACAAAAGTAGTCAATTGTTAAATTAGAGTAGTCAATAGCTATATGAAAGTAGTCACTGACAGTAAGGACAGTGTTGTCATTTTACAAAATTTGAAAATCTAAAATGGTATCTGGGGCCTGAATTGGGATTTTAAAATTCACCTACCCTTATTTGTCATTTAGTAATTTTAAGAGTATTTTACTGTCTTTTTTCCTAAATATTATATAAAAAACCCAAGCCTTTTAATGACCAAAAAAAAAGTTTATTTTATGATAAAAAAAGTTTATTTTATATATTCAACCAGAGGGGGTAATATTATACTTGAAGAATTTTTGCATCTGGGTTTCAACTAATGCGCTTGATTAGTTGCTGTAATTTTTAGCTTCAAACACAAAATTCTTTAAGTATTCTTTCAAATCTTGCATAGGCAAAGCAAGACGTCAGTCCCACACTTATCACAAGTAACTCAAATTATCCTTATCAGTAGATCCATATATACAGTAATACAGCATATAATCTAAAATTATATATTCGACTTTCTTTATCTATTTTCTGATTATTTTAAAAATTTATTCAGATACTGTAAAATTTCTTATATGCGATATTGTTTTTTGAAAAAAAAAAGGTAATGTTTCAGTAATAAAGAGGTTTAATTAAACAACCATGCCCTATTTAGACAAGTCCTTGATGAAAAAGAAAAGGATGTACATTTTATGGGAAATTATCCTTATCAATAGATATAGAAAGTCGCATGTATAATTTAGATTCTATGCTATATATATATATATATATATATATTTATATATATGGATCTAAATTAATTGGTCTGCAAACATTGAAAGGTTAATATCAGTGGACCCTCTAAAGGAAAAATAACAAGTCATTTTCGGAGAATTTTCAAAATGGCCCCCCTATTTGGTAGAAAAAAACACCCGAAGTCAAATGTATCGAAACCAAAAAACGGGTTAGAAAAAAACACCCGAAGGCAAATATATAGACTCAGTTCAATCGCAAGTGAAGAAACCAAGGAAGATGGAAGCAAAGTAACGAAGAATACTGAAAGATGGGAATTTGGGTGAGATTAGAAGTGTGGTGGGTGGTGACTGTTATTATAATATTAGTGTTTAATGGGTAACATCTTTTAAAAAAATTAATACAGCACTCACCGGATGTTAGAGTTTGAAGAATAACTTCTGAAAAAAAACAGATTTTAAGATTTTAAAGAATAGATTTAAAAAAAATTTATTTTTTAAGTATAGATTTTAAAATAATAAATTTTGTGAATAGATTTTTAAAAAGATATTATGACTAGATTTTGCAAAAAAATTTATTTTAATAAAATAAAAATGTTTAGATAGTTGTTTTCATAATCATTTTTATGTGAAAATCATTAAAAAGAACGTATGTTAATATGATAATTATATAAAATATATTTTAATTTTAATATTTGTTTAAAATAATAAATTGTATATAAAAAACAGTTAATTTTTAATTTTACCCCTAAAAAAAAATTATGGGTAAAATGGTATCACTAAAATTATACCTTTATCCTTTATATTTTTGTCATGTTTCATCCGCAGGCGTCATAACTTAGTCATTCAAGTTGGTGAAAAATTATGACTCGGCATCCTTATCAAGTTATTGGTGCTCCATCTTTTCAATACTTTACTAGCTGTAAAGGCGCCCAATGATGCAGTTTCGATTGATTGTTGCTGTGATGGATGCAATGGATCTTGGAAGTGGCCACAAATTATAAAGGAATCCCCCTTTTATTTCTCTTTCATTTTTTTGGGATGAAGTGAGTGACCCAAGAAGACGCAAGAAAAACAACCACCCAATCCGCGTGACAGAATCCCGTCAGGAAATCTTGCGTCACACAGATTGCGTACTATGGGGTTTTTTTTTTTTGGCCTGAAGAGTACTAGAGGTTGTTGAGTTGTCTGCTTTTTTTTGAGCTGTTATTCTTTGAATAAATAAATATATATACATACATATATTACCTCTTATTTTAAATACAACAACTAGTTAATTAATTTAAGTATATTAAAAAAATTAAATTAGTTATTTATAATAAATAAGTGTTATTTTTTAAAAATATTTTTACTAATCAAATTTATTAGTTAAAACTATTATTATTAAAAAGGTCATCTTAAAAAAATAAATAAATATAAAAAATAAAGTGAATTGAAATTTTATATTTAAAATTAAAATAAAAATTAAATAAGATTTTATATTAAAAATAAGAGGTAATGTATATATATGGAGGCGGGTATATTCAAACTCGTTAAAAGGTATATAACAGGACGGAAGAAAAAGGCATATAATAGTTTATTTTTAATGACATTAATCAATTTCAGTGCACCACGATAAGATCTCATATTTTTCATGTTCATTTTTTATTACCACCACCACCCAGAAAGGAAAAAAAAAAAAACTTTTTTCCAATTCATCACTCAAAGTCCCCAAAACATATTTATATATAAATTAAGGTAAAACTTTTTCACATACTTACATTATATTTTATAAATAATAAATAAAAAGTTGTTTTTGAGCCTTTTTGAATGGAACTTTTTTTTTTTTTTATACAATTCCAAACGAAACCTTAATTGTTCAACTTTACCCATTGACCTCGTAATGTTTGCCTTCAAAAACCATTATACCCCGTTTGGTGGCAAGG